ATATTTTTGGAGGACTATTGAGCCAACTTCCTAGCGGTGTCTTCTGGGTAACGCTAATGGGCTCAGATTTAGTGCAATATGTTAATATATGAAAAAAATAAATGTGCCCAATATATTATTGTGGAGGGAGATATTGCGCCAAAACGTTGTATGGATTTACTCCCCAAACTGTTCTGTTTTGGATAAATGCCCACAAACGTATTTTCACTTTTCACACTACCGTTTTAAGGAGTGAAATAGATCTTATTACGAGGTCCAAAGTACTGACTTCAGTTTTACTCCGATAATAATCTCGAAAACATTTTGAATTTCTTATGTAATCTGTATTGAATCCTCCGAGTCTGAGTTTTAGAGAAAACCAGTATAAGTGTATTTTTTTGAAATTGAAATATTGAAATATGTCTAAAAATACGAAAATTTTTTATTTTTAAAAATAATATTAATTATAATTTATAAGTGTGACTAGAATGATCCCAAGTGGTCTTAAGAACAAAATATTCATTTTATTTTTAAGTGATAACATGCAATCATATTCCTCAGGTCTTATTGATATGTTGTATATACTATTCATAATATATATTTATATTAATTATAAATAGTGATATGAGACAAGAAATAATATATTAATTGATGAGCAAAAAAAATTATGATTAATGAGTTGTTAATGTAATCATATATAAAACAATAATTCTAATATCCTATATTGTGTGAATAGTATAGATACCTAAACAAACTTGAAGACTTTAACCCTCAGTCATATATTCATGGATCGACAGCAAACTTTTACACGAGACATAATATTTAACTGACAATATTTTTTTTCGATTCACATCACTCTTAATACCTATATCGTCAAAATACCATAAATAGCTAAATCTTTTAAAATTATTAATGTATTTTATATAATCATTTATAGTTTATGTATTTTTTTGTTTACCCTCATATTATATTTACTAATACGCATTGTATGTCACTATCATAGAATACTCGCTCATTAGTAAATCACTCAGGGTCTAAATTCGATTAGCATTTGTGGAATATTATGCGTGACTAAAATACATAATTATATAATATACACAGTATATGTATCGGTACATATATATGACTGCTTAATGTTTATACAAAGGTACACAGTTTTAACCAGAAACTCCCATATTACAATTTATAATACACAACGAGCTTAACCATTTCGCCCTTACCATTCTAGAATTCAATAATAATTACGTTAGTACCTATAAAGGTAGGAATTTTAGTATTTATCATTTATATAAATTATCATATGCATCCTACCACGGGCCATTGCAAAATACAATAATGCTCGTCGTTTTGAAATTATTTATTGTTATAGTCACGGTTTTGACCACAATGAACCCACATAATACCTATACATATTAATATTATTATAACATATAAGCTATTACCTACCCAAAGATCCATAGGATTTAGAAATATATAACTTCACCCTGCTCACTCAATATTTATTTATTATCAGTATTAAAGTGTTTTTTAATCCACGGTGGTTAATCGTTATATATTTGTTTAATCACTTATTGCACTTCGCGCCCTAAAAAGGGTCACTATGTAATTACTAATCAGTAATAACTATAATATAATAAAAAACAAGGACATTTGTACACATCAACACACGACTACTACACAAGTCATATATATATATTTCGTACATCTAAGTATGTATAAATGTACACCAAAAAAAAGTGTCGGATATTTTACTATTTACCCTACTAGAGTTGCGTGTTTGCCACCACTATAGGTGATTATTATCATTATAATGTTTATAATATCGTCCATATTAAATATTAACATACCATCATTATACGATTCTCTGTGAATCAGTGGCTGCTATTCTATGATCCAGGCTAAATAAACGCGTATACCATTTGATTGGCGGGTGGGTGATTAATAAATAACTATTAATCACCCAACATAAGGTATAACATAAATCGAACATTACTTTTCTCTAAATAGAACAAAATCAGTTAAAATATTTTGTAAATTATTACATGTCTTGTAATTGTATGTATGAATATTCGGTGAAAATTTTGAATCTCCAAGGTTTGAGTTGAAAAAAAAAATCGATTTGTTTAAAAACTGGATTTGCGTAAAAATTCCGAATAGTTTTATTGTTTTTTTCCTATTATTTTTTAAAGTTCTGGTAAATTTTGACTTTTGACTCCCAGAGTATCAACTTTAGATTCAGTTTGTTACAAGGAACCACCATCGAAATAGAAGTTCGAATTATTTTTCTACTATGATCTATAGAACCTCAGATGAATATTTAATAATCAATCACAAATTATCTTTTAACTATCAACATCTACAAATAATTCAAAAAAATTGAAAATAAATGTGTGACCCTCTGAATAAATATCGATGATGTGTTTTGTGGTATACCTAACTAGTGTATTTAACATGGGGATGATTTTTCTCCAGTTTTTTCAACTAAATAAAAGCCATAATTTGTACGAGTATTTTCCTAAACCATATGCTGTGACAATTGTACCCACTATTGTTTATATTACATTTATGTTTATGTAAAGACGTTAAGCTGCATAGCTTGCAGAGGTAGGTGTAAAAGATTGACAGAGAGTTGTTTAGAGAATGAAAGATGTCAAAAACTTTTTATTTACTATTACATAATTAAAAATAATAAACTGTATTCACGCACAACGTTATAAAAGGGAAAATTATGTTTGAATAATAATTTAGAATCGTATTCTATTGATACAATTATGTGGTTACACATTTTCGATAATCTATTATTTTAAACAATACGAAGAAAGCAAAATATGAAGTTTATTTAATATTATATTAATTCATGCTAAATTTGTGATTCGATGCGTATTTCAACTGTTTGAATGCCAGACCTGTTAATTATTTATTCCCAATATTATAAATAAAAAGGGCAAAAGTGGTAAGTTAGTTAACCGTTCTGCTGTACTGTAGCCGCCATATAGAGAAAGCCACTGTAATGTACCTTTGTGTTAAATTTGATTTCAATGATAAATCATTGCATAGTACAAAAAAACTATTCTGGACGAAGACAATAGTATTGTTGAGTCAGCCTTTATTACTATAGTCTATAAGTATGTTTTATCATGTATTTATATAATTATAATTTATAACAGTAATTTTTGTTTACTACTAGCTATAGCTATATTTATTGCAACGCATTATGGGTCGGTTTGTTTGTGTCAGAAATCTTATTTCTGTAACCAAACCTATAATATCATATAAACAAAAATATATTCGATTTAAAACGTTATAAAATGTTACTCATGTGTGAATAGCTATGAATAACGAAGCAAAGAATACGCCCAGACTTTCAAGGTATTTGTGTGTTAAATGTGGAGCCAATTAGTTCAGTAGTTTCCAAGTTATACAAACTCATACAAACGTATATTCGTTTATAAACCTTTGTTTATTGTTTATATAATGTCTAATATTATCAATATATGTATGAGAATCGCACATGCAACTAGTTTCTTTGCAATGCATTCCAAAATTACTCAACCGATTTTGATAAGATTATACTCAATGTGTATGTTTTGGTCCAACTTAAAATATAGGCAATAGGTTGTTGTTATCTCGATAAGTGGTCCTTAATTTTTTTTATTGAAAATTTAAGAAATTATTTTGAGATTGATGGAAATTGTTTGTACATTGTTGCTATTGGTTACAGCTTGCACATTATAATACCAATAAATAGTATTAGTAAAATTTAGTATTCATTGCTACTATGGTTACTCCATTCGTCAGATGAGGTAAAAACATACAATAATTTGTCGAGGTTATGGTTTCAAATAAAGAAATTATGTGTTGAAACAAAATAACATGACAGTTGAATGTATGTTTGTAGCTTATATAGGTACTCAAAAATTACTTAACCGATTTTTCGAAAATTTCCAATCATCTTTGGAGATTTCAGCAAAATGTAGAGAGTTTGAACTACGTTCGATTTATATATCAAGTGCTGTTTCCAATCCAATTGGTATTTTTAATGGGAAGCAAAGTGCACTAGAATATTATATACATACAATATGTAAATAGATTAATAATACTGTTAGTTGAATTAGTTATTGTCAAAAACATTGTATTTGAAGATGTGATAAAAAGTTTTAACTACCCACAAATAATATTTATGAATTACAACAAAATAACTAAAAACGTTTATCCTAATTTAAATTTGAACTTGAAATGTCTATAGACATATTAATAAAGTGCTATTTTCATGTATGAAAAAATGTATTCCTATTATTTCGAAAAATACTGAGAAGATTTGACATAAACACAATAACACCTAAAGAATCAACTAAATCAAATTTTCTACCAGAAACTACCCCAAAGACTCTCAGTAATTTTTTTACTAAAAAGAGTATTTACAGAAACAAAAAAAAAACGCATTATTATAAAATAAATAGTTCATTTCCCCTTTAAAATTCTAAGAAAACATATTTTACTATTAATAGAATTAGGAAATAGATAACAGTGGAGTAGATAATTAATAGCACCTAAATATTGCTTGTATGATTTTTTTTAATGATAGTAATTTTTTGTACCTACGAAATTTATAATAATATAAAAATATACAATTATATATACAAATAATACATAATGATTATATATGTTAATACATATATATATATATATATTAATATTGTTAATTTTTTTGTAAATATAATATATTTATGTGGATGTTTCAATAATTCGCAGTAGATAAATCATACTCATAGATCTTACCGTGGCAGTATGCTATACAGAGACAATATAAACTATGAATGCATGATAAGTGGTGACTTGTAATATTATATAATTACAATGTAATTGATGGCATTAATTATTAGTGCTGAATTTAGAGTTATGAACATCAAATGCATTCTATACATCCAAGGAAAACGATTAAATATTGCGGTATAGGTACCTAAGTATTAAGGTAAGTACTAAGTAAGTAGGTGCCTACATTTTAATAACCAAATCACGCATAATATCACACCGCATATAATTCGTACACTTTGAATGCAATTTTTCATGTATGCCTTCTATACATGTTTTTCTAGTTTAATAGTTCATATTCCAACTGTGAGTTTTTGAAAAAGGAGGTAATTAAGAGTTGAATTATAAATGGGTAAATATTGAATAGGATAAACATAAATTCAAATATTGTTTTACAAATTCTTCTTATGATTAAACACAATATTTATCATATTCAAAAAATTATATTTTTGAATATAATATTATGTTTCTTATACGTAATAACAAATATTCATCACTGCACATAAAACGAGAGCTTTTGTTTTAGGATATTTTTCATCAAGTTAAATGTATGTACTGACCTGATATAAAGCAACCAAAAATAAAAGTAACATAGTATATGGTATTAAATCTAATTTTATTAATACAACAATCAATTTACAAAACCTTTTGATTAGGTAATGAAATTTATCTCATTCAAAAAAATTATATTTAAAAAATATAATATGTTACTTTTATAGAATATTTATTATACCCACGTATAAGATCATGTACAATAATATTAACTTACATTTTAGGATATTTTTCATCAAGTGGCAAGTATGTATTTAATCACTGCTCACTTACTAAAATGCACCCAAAAATAAAAGTAACATATGGTATTAGATTTAATTTTGTTAATGTAAAATATGGGCAAATATTGGAATAGTAGGATATTTAATATAAATTCAAGTTTCACTTTATAAAACTTTATGATTAAATAGGTACATGGTTTTATATAAAAAACATTCAAACATATAATTATGTGATAATACAATTTAAAGCATAATTTTCTTATAGGTAAGTAATGTTTACAAATTTATCATTAAGATGGTTTTCTATTGTAACCGTCGAACAATTTTTTAATACAAATGTTTTAAAATGTTTTAATTGTAACGTTGAATTATGTGTACATATCTATAAGAATTTATTGTTTGTACACTTCAGTCACAAAAAATATAAAACTAAAAAAAAGTACACAAATTAATTTGGTTAATGTTTTGATGATCAATGTTTGTAAATAAATATGTTTAATGTGTAAATATAATAAAATATACAAATGTATAGTACAAAATATAATATATAGGTGTATACTGTATATAACAACTAAACTGCCGTCGGGGCCACCACGAATAGACGATAAAAATTCTGGTCGTAAGGAATATGCACCACACAAACCTCTCTAGAACCGAATTTGTCGCCGTTTTTCAAACAAATTCGGATCTACAGGGTAGATGTAGAGCATCACTACACCGAAGACGGACGGTTTCCAAAACCGCCGTGTGACGACGAAGACTGGTGGCCCTCTGCACGCAGTTTCCAGGCGGCCAATTGGGCCCTCTGAAACAATACGAAAGAACGCCAAACGTTGACTACATTATGAGCGGTTTATGAGGCGTAATAGAAAAAAGAAACAAATTAATAAAAAAAACTATTTCGGAAAAAAAATATAAAAACGTACAACAGTTAAATAATGTAACGTGCATGGGTCGTGTGCACGCGGATGTTATTCGCACGACAGCTCTGAGCTGTCTGTCCGTGATTTCATCGCGTTAGTCATCGGCATCGTCCCCTTTTTACACACGACCGCGACGTGTCAACGAACTCTCTCCCTTCGCCCGGCATTACGCACGCAAAATAAAAAGGGTCGCGTACACGCGAAGGGTCCGCAAATTTTTTTTTCGTTTTTTCGTATTATTATTATTATTATTATTATTATTATTCCGTTTCTCTTTCACACAACGACGACGGCGATGACGACGACGACGACCACCACCACCACTACTCGCTTACTCTCTCCCGCAACGATAAATCGTTTATAGAGAAATAAAAACAAAAAGCACGACACGCGCGCAAGTATATAACGCGACACACCCCTACGCCCCCGCACCCCTCTCCGCGTCTACCGAAAAGGGTGAATCGTGCGTACGCGATCAATACTCGACGATGATGGGGAGTGGAGGTGTCGCGAGGCGTTGGCGTCGGCCGCGGCGGCGTCGGGCACGAGCGCCGCTGAATGCAAATTACTCAGCGCCGGGCGAGTGTACTCCCCTACCACCACCCAACGCGACCCCGTCACCCACCCACCATCCCGCCCACCAACGCGTGACCAAGCCGCTGACCGCCCTAGCTGCAGCCCTTCTCTCGCGACGCTCCTAATCTCCGTGAACGCACGCGATCCGTACGTTTATTAACCGCCGACCGGTTTCCGTTACGTATTATAAGTATACGATTAAAAAAAATGAACAAACCCTCGTTAATGTACATAGGTATTAGTATATGCGTACAAATATAAATATTTATAATAATATGTAAATATAAATGTATATATTATAATAGCCATCTGCACCCGATTCGTATAAATTATAATAATATTAGGTATAATAACAATATAATAATATGCCAATTCGACAATAATATATTCTATATTTTAAATGAATAATACTTTTTTTTTATGTGAGATTACGTTTGTTTAGCAAAATATTAGTTTTCGATTAAGTTAAAAGTTTAGAAAATCAAAAACTAAAATATATTTCATCTTGGCGTTCGAATACTATATATAAGTAATAATGTACAATACATATTATTGCCATGGAAATAAACTATATAAGTAATAGTGTACAACATATAGGTATAATATATTATCATATGTAAATAAAAAAAAAAAGTTAAGTTAGATGAATGTAATTTATTAAGAAAAAATAAATAGATAAACGAATAAAAACATCGTATAGATTATTAAAATAAAAAAAAAAGTTTAAAAAGTGTTCATGCTTACCATACACAGTCGTGTTGTACGACCGGACAGCAGCAGGAGCAGGAGCGGCAGCAGTGTCTCCAGCAGCAGTGGAGTGTCTGGCTCGGCGGTTGAGTCATCACTGACGGCTACAGCAGCAGTGCATGAGAGGACCAGCTCGCTGGGCGCCACTGACCAGAATGAAGTGTAGGAACAGCCGTGTTGTCCGTCCAGAGTCTGTCGTCGGAGTACCGCACGTCGGGCGTTGCTTTTTCGGGGTTAGCTCGGTGGTCCCGGCGCGTCGGGCTGTATCGATCGGGGCGGCGGCGCGCCCTTTTCTCGGACGCAGGACGTGTGTGGAGGTACGACGGTTTCCGATCGGCGCGCCGTCTGGTGGCCACGCGCAGGGGTCATACGCAGACTCCCGCTGCACACATCTTCCTATGCGATCGGCGACCCTTCCGAAATCATCCCTCCGAATTTCACCCCGCCAAATAACCCTCACCGATGCCGCGGTCTTTGCCGTATTTCGTCCACCACTACATACCTCGTCCTGTTCAGCTAACCACCGCTGCTACCGGCTCAGCCGCCACGCACCGCCCGAACGCTCGGTCGCTCACCCTCCGACCGACACAATGCGCTGCTCGACCACTCCGCCGCCGCGATCATCTGACCCTCCTCGCGCGTATATTTATGCAAAGCTCGTAAATTACTTCTTCTTCTTCTCCTCGTCCTCCTCGTCCTCCTCCTCCGTCTTCTCTTCTCCTCTTATGCTGCCACTATACTTCTTCTCCTTCTCATCCCATTCCACCTCTTCCTACTTCTCCTCGTGTTCCCAGTTCCTACCTCTCTCAAGCCAACTGCTGCGTATATCCCATATTCGAACCCCTCGCGCACACGATCCGCTCTTTTCGACCCTCTTCTACTTGCTGCTGCAGCCGCTCCCCTGCACACACTCACACAAACTTTACTACGTGTGTATAATGTGTATATATACATGGATAGCTCGAAAACGACTACGACATGGGTGAGTGAGTGGGTGGATGGGTGGTAATGAAATTTGGTGTCGTTGTGGTGGCGGTCGGGTAGTAGTATTTTTGAGAGAGAGAGTTTCTCTCTGGGGTCTTCCTCATCCGCGGTAACGGGTGCTAAAAAAAAGGGAAATTATATATATATATATTATACGCGCGGTCTTTGCCTTTGTGTTGTTTTTTGTGGGCTCGCTAATTGCCCTGATGTAATCAAAAACCTGAAAGCGACCTTTAATGCCACCGTGATGGGCTCTGCAGGGTTGGATAAGATCGTTTCGTATATTATTATTATATTATATATGGTGTTTTTTCGCTGTATACTTATGCTCCTTATTCTGATGCTTTCTACAAGTATAATTTAATGTATTTATATAAATTCATAAAAGTGTGATGAATCGTTATATTTTGATTATAAAAAAAATAAACTTGACGTAGAAGTACAAATAAAAAGTTGAAGCTAAACAAATTTAATGCTTGAATATTATATTTCAACAAGAAAAGTGCTAAACGACCGCTGGGGATAGTATTAGATTGATGATAGAGTTGATTCATGCGGTATATAATTATACGATATATTAGATGTGGTATGTATCAAGGCCTTGGCTAATAATTCAATGTACCCAGTACTGCTGGAAATTGGAAATCTTAGTAAAAGAATTCATAGCAGGACTGTCGTGAAAACCAAGATTGGAGACCATCGTGCAACAAAAAGAAAATTGTCTACAGAATATGTATATGTAGGTACATATAGATAGGTACGTGAAATATTGAAGATTAAACTCGAACATCTCAAATAGGTATTATTTCTGTTTCTGTAACTTACATAATATATTTAAATAGGCGTGTAAACAATATAAATTGTAAATCATTAAAAATAAAATGTATAGTATATATACGAGATAATAGCAAGATTTTCTTTTTTTTGATTCCGAGTAATGATTTTACATTGATGTGTGTTTTATTATAGATGTCGATAAAAAAATTTCTGTTGGTCAAAAAGCTACATAATTTAGAGGTTTTGCAAAAATCGTTATAACTGGAATTTAAAAAATAAGTTGATTGTAAATCCACATATTTTTTCTATAAGCTTGATGTTAAGATTTTTACAAAATTCTTCAAAACTACGCCAATTTGCCAACTTTTGTGTAACTTTAAGGCAATATCTAATGCTTGACAATTTAATAGAAGGTTTCTCTTAAGTAGTTCTTACTGAAACATAAAAATCTAATAAATGTGTAAGTACAATAATTTTTTATAGAGATTTGATGTTTGAAATTCAAATTTGGACTAAATTAGATATTTAAACAATGAAATACAAATTATAGTTATTATTTGTTGGTCATTCAAAAGGAGGGACTTGAAACTTTAATACACACACTGTCAATTTAAATTTTTAAATGTAATGTTTTCGGAAAACAAATAATCATTCTATACCGTATAACTGATAGGGAAATAAATTACTTTAATAGCATTATAAATGTTATATAAAATATACTTAAAAGTATAGGCCGACTTTGATCGTGTTCAATGATTTAACCCACAAATTACAGGGACTTACTCAATGACGAGGTACACTCAACATCTACTAAATTGTACAATAGAGTGGTTCATTTTTTCAATTTTTTTTAGTAATGTCAATTGCCATATTATTATCTAAAGTATTTTTGATGGAGAGTAAAAAATAAAAATACCAGAAATAATAAAAAAAATTGATGTCTCTATCATTCTAACTGTTATAGTTTAAATTTATAAGCGTAAATTATTAATGTAATTTATTTTCAGTTCTGTACCTATATTTGAAATAAATGTATTTAATATTCATATTTTACAGTCATCCATCTATAAATTATGGTCATGGTAGAAACATAATATATTATTAGTTTTTAATATTTACTTTCCTTTTTTAGTGGAATTTTAGTTAAAATTTGTTGCTGATGTCTATACCGAACTTTACACTCTATTACTTTAATATTATATGCTCCAAAATATGTGTGGCTAACAAAACAATTGATCTCGATACTTCTAATGTTGTAGCCATTTAGTTGAAATCCGAAGGCATGAATAATAAATATAAATTATGTTATAATATATATTTTTTTTAGTTTGTTATAGGATACAGTTTGCTTAAAAATGTCAAAAAGTGTATGATTTAGATATTTGTTGGAGTTAAATATTGGTAATATTGTAAAATATACAAAACCACGAACATTTTTACTTTAGTTTTTAATTAATCAATGTATCTTACATGATAATTTATGTACCTATGTACCAATGATGCCTATGCTATATCACTCATTTGAAAAAAAGTAGTATCCCATTTGAATAAAAAATAGTCTGTTAAAAATAGTCTGCATGTCTATATATGACACTACTTATTCTAACTTCTAATACTTTTTACACTTTACTTTTTGCTAACATTTAGTATTATCTAATTATTAAAATATAATATATAGTACCTATGTCTTACATTTTATTTTTATATTTTAATTTATTTTCACGTTAAGTAATTTGAATCTATATACGAACCAGTTATGTACATATTTTTGATTACTTTGTCATTTTTTAAGAAAAATTAGTATTTTAATAGATTCTAATTTATGTAGATGTAGATCAATTATATCGATTTAGAGAGATAAGCATTACAATAAAGTATTATTAAATTTAATTTAGGCCAAACAATTATTACTTAGGTAATTATTTTTATAAATCTTATAATTTGTTTAAAATTAAGGGGGTGAATAATATTTTTAATGTATAAAGTTATAAATTATTTATTTTGTGTTTGTTTCATTTCATTAATCAGTGAGGAAATATTTCTGGAACGTTCAAACAATACAAAAATTATCTTGAGTATAATTCGCAAGGTATAAACTAAACAAAAATTAAAAATGAACCCTGGGTTACCTACTCGAAACCACGGTACAGAATTTTAATCAGAAAGAATTTATGACAAAAAACACATTTATTAAAAGAGGGTCCATAGTTTTTAATTACACAAAAAGGAACGTATAAGTGTTCAACTCTAACGTTTGACGTACGTTGATAAAGACTTTTTTAGATAAAATATAAAAATATGCATTCCCTAAATGTTGCTCTTTTTACTGTTTCAAGTTAAACATTCTTGTGAAGTAAAGAACAAAAAAACTATTCTTGAGACGTTAGAAAAAGTCTATATTCATAACGAAAAAGAGGGGAAGCCTCAACTAAGCCGACTTTTGTACAATTCTTTATTGTTTTTCATATACCTAAAACTTTTTCTTTGTAATAATCTTAGCAAACTCATTTATTTTTACTTTTATATTTCAGAGAATGTTGCCTAACTAACTTATTCTTCAAGATGTTAAAACTATATAACTACATTATCTGTAAATAAAATCTGTATGAAACTCATCTCAAGAGAAGCACATCTAAGTGTAAAAAATGTCGTTTATATTTTTAATTTTGAAACATCATTCATTTTATTCTTTTTATTTTTATTTGAACTAACACAGTTTTAGTTTTCAGATAATAATAAAAAAAAATTATATTTAGTAACTTTATTCGATTTGTAATCGAAACTGGAGCTGTATAGTATCCATAATATTCACCAAAAAGTATCTTTAGAATAAAATTTAAAAATTTTTAAAACTTTATTATACAGCCAATGTATTCTTTGTAAAATAAGTTTAGAGTCTAATAAGTTTTTTAGCATTATATAAAATAATATGTATTAATACATTTTCTTTTATAAAAGAATATATATATTTAGAATACATATTATAGGTACCTAATTAAACATTTGCATTACCTAACATAGGTAAATAATTAGATAAATTATATCAAAAAATATTTTTATTTTATCAGTCTTTCGGTGAACTCAGTTCAATACGGTATTTTTAAAAGTAATTTTGACGATATTTTTTTATTAAAGAAATATTTTCGAGGTATCACGAAAAATACCAATACAGAAGGAACCATAAGATTCCTCCGAAGAATAAAATCAATAAAAATACTTACACATCAACACATAATCTTTTTAAAACAGAAAATAATCGAACACAACTGATGAAATATCCATTAGTCTATATAGAACACTTATAGACGTTGAGCGAAACGTTTTGGTTCGTTTCATTTTGACGAAAGTAAAAAAAAAAAAGTATAGACGGTTTGAACATCGGTATTTTTATAAAAATATTTTCTTTGTAAACGAGGTTTTTGCACTGTTCGCAAGTCCTCACTGTATTTACCGACCATTTCGGTTGAAGTGTTATTTTTACTCATTTATCGTTTTGTTTATTTCCATCGACCCAAAATGTTTTGACAGTTTACGTATTATATTTCCCAGCTCCCATGTATAGCATACTTAGCAGGTAGTTCAAATACGCTATTGTGTATACAGATCACCGTGAAGATATAATATATTTATTATAGTGGAGTGAGTGAAGATTCTATTGTTTCGAAATCCTACCAATCAGCTAAACAGCCGTACAGTTATATGACTTCCAATCGTCGTTAACTTTCGGCAAACGTATAGAAAGCCAGATCACAGGAGATAATATTAGAGACTGAGAGCATATAATAGTAGTCGATTTGGAAATCGCGTATGACGTATATCTATAAACCGTCCTATGGAAATACCTACCTAATAAGAATATATAGTATGGATTCTATATCCCAAATAACATTATTCGCGGTTCGTCGAGTATAATAATATACTATATTATAATGTGACTGATTTAATCGATAATTCGGAAATTGAATTTGAAATGAGTCGGCAGCAATTGGTTGTTTTATCCCGGATTTTTTTCGTTCGAAATGCCACTTTTTATTTTTTGTGCTCACTGAAAAGTTCGTCTGGAACTTTTTTTTTACTTCATCCCTCATCAGGTTTTTAAAGTGTTAAATAATTTATTACACCTACAATATATAACTTTATAATATATATATATATATACATTATACGATATACCAGTCTTCACTCAGATCCTTCAAGTTTTATGTTACAGTACCTATATGTACTTTTATATAAGCTTATATCACTGAATGCAATTTTCTCTATTTTTGAAGCAGCTTATCCACGACCTACATATTATCCTACAATTGTTTTTGAAAATATAAAATATGGAACTATATAGTTGTATAGTAAACATGTCCTATATTATTATGGTTTGTTGGTATTACGATTTATTGGGTGTCACATAAATCAAACCAATTGGCTACCTATAGTCTTTACCTTTTTATTCGGAGAGATTTACATTTTTTCAAACATTTATAAACAACAATATATTATTATTATATAAACAATAGCCATAGGTACGCAGTAGTGTATACAAACTTGTTTCTGTATAAAAAATACAAGTATTATACCTACCATGTGTGTATTAAAACCGTTGTGTTTGATACGTTGTTTTGATATAGGTAATAATATATTATAATGTATACTCAACTCAGAAAATAGAAGAAAAATTGTTTTTTTTTTTTTTTGCGCCAAAGTTCAAAGCTTTCAAACGAATACACACATATACACATATGGAGCATCGAGCAGAGGATTACAGACATTTATGTATATGAATGAAAGCTTCTATAATCATATTTATATATATCATGTTTTCGTCTGATTTTATGCGATCGAAATATGGGAAAAACCATTTAGATTATATACGTTAGGTACCTGTGCAGAGGAAGTTTCTTTACGCGTATTATAATATACACTCGGTATATAATAAAAATTGGCTTTTAAATTTTAAAATACAATATACGTAAGTATGTATATCACTCTACACACGTAAACGGTTTTCTTATACATGGATGTTGAAAAATCGTTGTTTTACAAGGCATATATATACTATATGCTCGTATACACAGACGGTCGTATTAAATATACAATTTATATAGGGTGTCTAGGGTCTCGACGGTGTCTCATATAATATTAGTCATGATAATACAGTCGTAGTTACTATGCGTACAAGTATTTAATTATTATATATTTATATACTGCTCGAACCGTGTCTCTCCCAAATTTAAAATCGTATGTTCGAATACACTGGTAGGTACTCATCTCAGTCATAATAACATAACATTAAATTGTTAAGTTTATTTACTGAGCGCAATACGCATTTATCTCTTTACTATAAGTCTTCGAAACAAGAGAAAAGAAAATATTGTGATTTTGTAATACTAGGTAAACTAAAAATGACGAACACCACTCTTCATTCATATACCTCCTAATATTCCAATATATTATCATGCATCTGGAGTGACAATTTTTGGAAATATTTAGTCCGCGTATTGGAAAAAAGTTATTGATGGAGACAAGAAAGCTGCAACGAGACACACTGTATAGTATAGCGAATTGACGCAATTCCTTCGCTTTGGTTTTTAGAATTCGCACACGCCGTCGTCATCGCCATCCCTTTATACTCCAAACTGTATACGTCATACACACACACACACACACACACACACACACACACACACACACACACGCGTGAAACGAGGATATTATGTACGTGCGCGTTGTACGAAATGCGATCTCCGTTCGGGGTGCGGTGGGTCGGCGGCGGCCGCGGTGCTGTCGGGGGAGTTAATGTTTAGATTGAGGGGGCCGGCTCGGTAGTGCAGCACATCAGTTACTATATATATATATTTAGGGGTGAGATGGACAGAGGGAGGAAAACGAGGAAAAGGGAATGCAAATTTTTCAATGGTATAAATCATCCACAAAGGGTTTTACTATTGTTTAAATCGTGCGTGTGTGTGTGCGCACGCGCCGTGATGTGTGTGTGTGTGTGTTCGTATAACCAATTATAATATTGCCAGGCGAGATCCTTTCTCCCGAGTATGTATACATATTATTATATTATTATTATCGTTATAATATATTATAACATAATATATGTTGATGGGTTACCCCGTTCCCCATCCACAAATCTAACGCATGACGAAACCAGAAAATGAAAAATTTCAACAAAGACAATTTTTGTAGTTTTTTTTTTGAAAATTTTAGGTACCTTTAACAAAAATGTATGTAAAACATATCTCGGTATTCAATATTACGCTAATGAAATTGAAAATATTATTCATTTTTAATATTTTTATACATTTTATCATCTTCAAACTTAAAACCCTCAAAAAAAAAAAAAAAAAACTGTGGATATATTTTCGCTATATTTTTTTAATTACTCTAAGAAAACTTGTGTGAAATCTTGTTTTAAATTTTCCAGATTTTTACATCAAACAAATATTTAATCAATAAATAAAAATCAAGTTGAAAATGTCATATGTCAATTTACTGTATTTATTATCTATACCACAAAAAAGCCAAAATATTTTTAAAATTATATCTTGTCTAGAAAATTCTAATATATTCTATATTTGGTGCACAAATTCAAGTATGTATAGGTTATTTTTGAAATATAATAAAAAATCTATTGATTTTGAAACTAGTAACAGGATTTGCATAAATTTTATTTTTGTTTTTCCCAATTATTGTGAAAAGTACGAAGAATTGCTTGCCATTAAATTTTCTACCATAAACCACCTTAAAGTTTAAGACTGAAGCTCCTATAGTGAAGTTGACAACAAATCTACATATTATCATCGTACGATGTGTAAGACTAAAACATTTATTGCTCCATTCAGAATCTATAATATATTATTTCTTCAAAATGTCAGTTAAAGACCAAAAAGTTCTAACTGTATATTAAACTTTTTGTTTACGAATATTTTGTTTTGATTGAGTCAGAAAATTTTTTTTCACGGGAAACGAAGTTTGATTAAATACAAAAATTATGTGACATGATGTCAAAACTAAAATAATTTGGTGGTTCTATATTCTTTATAGAATTGTTTACTTTGTTGATTAATGTACATTTGATATTCCACTATCATTATAAGATTGTAAATGGTTGTTAATACAATGGATGTGAGATAGTAATTTTTGGTAATTATACTAATATATTTTATATTATATATTAAATTAGTTATATTGTAGAACTTATATTTTTCTAAAACTGTACCTATATAGTTGAGAACCAAAAGTTCAATTTAGAATTTAGATCACTGTTGAATAAATTTGTTAATTGTATTGATTTTTCGAACCTCTTACATAGTTCTCGATAACTCTTTAGATGATAAGCCTATAAAGGTTGTTTGTGTGGTTAATTAACGGGCATTGATAGTTAAGTCTACATGTATAAAAAAGTTAAAAAAAATCACCTTTGCACTCTCGCAGACCTATGCGAACACAATATTAAACATTATAATTATAATGCATAAAATATACGAGCACACCTGCAAATACTGCAGAATGTAATGCGCTTGTAGTACAACGTGTGTATACGTATATATAGATGTAATTTTTTATGATATTATCTACTTTAATTCTATTATATTTTGTTGACATGTGTTGTAATAAAACTGTGGTATAAACCAAGTTTTTTTCCCCAAACAATTCGCGTAAAGCCGGGAGATTTCAAGTAAGATTCAAACGCATCATGACTACGTGTGCTGTGCATCCGTGTGTTTCGGTTTCATCCCATACAAGCGCGCTCTGTGGTCGACTACGGCTATAACCTATCGATCGGCGCGAATATTGTCGTCTTGGCACAAAAGGGTCACTCGGAGGAGTGTGTAGTGTACCAAATCTGCAAGACCGAAAATCTGATGAAATAAATATTTACAAACACACTCGCACACATACACATAATATTATATGCACTGACTGTTATAATAATAATATATTACTTAGACGGCATATTATATTGTCTACTGTATAATTATATTTACTAAACTGAATAAATAACATGATAGCACTTTAAAACGTTTCTAGAATATTTCAATTTATAACTAACTGGACCAGAGCCCATTTTTTATTCCTCATTCCTACAACACACTCCATATCTAATGGACAGGTTAGTCTTACGCGCGGACACCCCGCACCTCACCGAATGATGGGTCTCGTGAATTATAATAATTATTTAGCTTGAACTATTTTTTTGTTCTTTGGTCACTAATGAATCTATTAAATCTGTTAAAAATGTACCTATGATTTGCTGTATCTCCGTGTAATTGTTTTGAAACTTCCTCGTTTGAACGTCGAATCATGATAAACAAAAAAAAAAATTATACCTATCTATTGTAATATATTATATTTATCGGGTGTGCAATTAATGTGGCTTGAAGGCTCAATAATAGCCTATGTCACATTTGGACGAATTTGAGATTGTTATTGACCAATGTCATTAATATTTGGTTAAGTTACTATTGTGTTTAAATTGTCAATGCTTGAGATGCAATATGCCTAAATAAACATTGACATTGGACATTTTGACAATAATCAACCGAAGTGTATAGGTAGGTATACCAAAATAATATTATGAGCCTATCTCGATATTGGCCACGTATTATCGATAAAGTCACTATAAGGCTATTTTTAAATCAACCAATCAAGTTTATAAATGTATAAGTTACTAATAGTTTCTATGTGCAATTCAATATATTATTATTAGTCGTCAGGTTTAAATAAAAAAGTCATAAGTTTTTAAATATTAAAAAAGTATTTATTTAATATTTTAGTTTTCGGCCAAGCGTCAGTTATTAATAATATTTTAATATTTATATCCACCAAGAAAGTCCAACGTCAAAATAAAATAATACATATTCTTGTTTCTCAAAATACAAAAGTTTCATTTATGGAAAACAAATGTATATTAGTGATCTAAATCTCAAACATTTAACGTTAAACCATTAATTGTTATTATTATTATTATTTTTTAAATTCTTATTCCGGACATTTTATTTTTTTTTTGACATTGATCCTTCTTGCTCAAGTCCGCAGAATAATTATATTATTTGGAAATAAATTGAGGATTTTTTCGATTTTGATTTCGATTATATTACTATCCATATATATATATATATTAAATGCGTGCAAATAAGCAAATATAATCGAAGTCCGAAAAAAAAATTTAGAAAGTTATTTTTCAGTATACCTACTTCCCGCATTAATCATATTAGTTGTGCAAATGTTTATATAATATATATGTTATATTAATATAAGTAAATAAAATATATAAAATATATTAATATGTTGTAGTACTCCTACATAATATTTTTCTATTTTTAATATATATGTTCTAAATGTAAATGTTAGCGGAATTCTGTGTGTGCTTTGGTGAATATTGCATCCCCGTTGTTCTGTAATAGTAGATGAATATTGAAGTTGTATTTAACTACTGGGTCGTCTAGGTGATAGAATCCTTAAATTCTAGGTTCATCCCATCGGGATTACACAAAAGGTGTGATGGTTATAGCTAGGAATATAGTATACCGACATTGGGTTTTATTTAGAGGTAGGTACATTTTTAAGTAGTTTCAATGTGTATAATATAAATTAAAATAATTGTTGATTAAATATTATTTATTTTTAATTAAGTGCTTGGGTAAAATTTTTCGTTAATGGTTCATGTAAAATAAAATGTACTATAGGCTCTTGATTGGGGATAAAAATATAATTAAAAAGTTCTTATTCAAATCTATTAATAGTCAATATTTTATCACCATATTCAAAAAGTTTGTGTCTTATACGATTTTATTTTTGACAGTGTTACTCCAATTTCTTTGTACGTTACTTCCTATCGTTATGTATATGTTTCGTACAGAATATGATTTAAAACGTTGATAAAATTGTATATATTTGTGAGCAAACTAGTGTAAAACCAGACAATAATATAGGTATTTAATTTTGCCTCTCTACTGTAGGTTGCCCGATTGTTGGATGGTAAATATTCACCTCACATTATATTGGGGGAAAAGCATGCATCTGTATTTTGCAGTTGTAATTTAAGTTTGTTGTAGGTATTTTTTTGGACTAACTAATTTGTTTGTATTGAATAAAACAATATTAATTTAATACTTAACCAAAACAAATAGTATGTTAAACCAAATGACTATAAAATTATCTCGAACGCGATTCAGTCACTCTTTAGATAAATACCATGGTCACTGTATTTACCAGTTATAGCTACCAAAGCTTAATAATATTTATTTTTTCCAGACGCAATTCACCTGACAACTGACAAGAACAATTTTTGGGCCCACCGGATTATATTAAAAAAATATATATTGTGTGGTACAAAATTATTTAAACGTTGTTTCACAATATTTTCATTGTATATATATATATATATATATATATATTAAAATATTTAAAGAATTTAATTAAAACATCACATCATCACAAATAAAAACTATTGACGACTGTCAGTGTGCAAATCCATGTATGTCTACATAACATTACTTTTTATAAAAACTATGAAACAAATGTTGACTAATTAATCAGGATAACTTATAGTTGTATAATTTATATGTTTCATAAAATATAGTATCGAACAATTATTTTGAAAAACAGTAACTCAAATATTGTCGGATCAATATAACAGCGAGTTTACTTTGGTGGCTATTTATTACGGAATGTTTTCTTTGCAAGTCACGATGTTTTTTTGTTTCAAAATATTATAGAACTCAAGGGTAGCTTTACACTGACGCACGTAAAACCTAAATACATCTTTTGTTTCGTCCTATTCAACATTTACACAATGTCCACAAATTGCATTAAGTTTTAATTAATGATTTCAAAAATATTTCATCTTGCCAAATATTTTTCTGCGATATTCTATTATGTATAAACTCGAATTTTGTTTGGTTGTACAACAATATATTGTTATTATGCATATCTTAAAATTATAAACAAAACGTATCAAGTAATAAAAGCCAATTTATATTTACAATAATAATAATGATGATAAATAAATTAAAAATTAAATTGGCATTCTTACCTATTTATTTTTGTATAATATAAAAGAGTAATTTTGAGCCTTCACTCAAAGAGCATTCTAACATTTATTACAATATTTCTAATATGCTATTTAGTATACATATCATCTTTTGGCACACACCTGTGTTTAAAATTATGGTGAAGATTTTAGATCTCATACATCTCAAATCATTTTAAAATACATACAAGGACTAAAATATTAATTTACCACCTAATTAATAATAAATAAGAGTAATTTAACACTGACATGCGTTGAGGCGAGCGAAGTACCCATCACGTCAATAATAAGTATCATGTCCACACATTTTTAATCAGAAAAAAGTAAAAACTCTTAAAAATCACGTAGTTGGGAATCATGTTAAAATGAGATATATCTATATAGCCTCCCTTATGCTATATACTATATAGTGGCCCGTCTAAAATAAAATACTAAATAGCCTATTTACACGCGAAGAGTGTCCGCCTTTTTAATTGTTTGCTGTATATAGGTACTTCATACATTGTTTTATTTTAATTATCTTTCCCCATAACCTTTTATGTACCGAATACTGGATTGTTAATAATATGAAAAGGTTTAATTTATATCTACATTTTTTAATTTGGACACATGTAACTATGCGAAATGGTTATTTTGTACTAACGTTAGTAATTTATACTAAACTTGTATTGATACTATTTAATACTTATCTACTAATGTAAAATATATAGACTATATTATTATAAACATTTATAAAATATGTGTATTAATATTATTATAAGTGTTTGTATCGAATACAAAGTGAGCTATTGTATAGAACTGTACCTATACTTATTAAGTTTATTTAACGTACAACTACAATGCAATATTAACCAATATTTGTTTCTCTCTCAAATTTAGATGCCATGTCTAAACAAAGAATAACGTGTCCCAGCAGTCTACATTATTACCCTACTTGCAATTGGTACAAAAATATATGTACCCTTAGTCATAAACACTGTAGTCATTAGTCACCCTTCTATCTCGATATAAATCGATGTAAATAATGTTTGAGTACATATTCACTGAACAAATAGTGTTTTCCCGATGTGTTCATAAAATACACTTCAAATAAAAATACGTCTAATATAATGTTTGAAATACTACATAACTCGCATCACCTTCAGTCACTAATAAATCGAATCATAAAAATAAAAATATACCTGATGATTGAAACTTGAAATTTTAACACGCTTGACGAAAATGTTGGTATAGTTATCATTTAATAAGTTCATACTTTATTTTTATAATTCTATGCAATATGACTAATATACAACACTGAAAACTGAAGTTATTGGTTAAATATTAATATAATATAAATATTGATTGAGATTTTTTTTTGTTTTTTACCGTTACGGTAAACTTTTTAGTGCAATAAAAGTGCTCCGGATCAGTGTGTGATATTATGGTTGTATAAAAGTGGATGTAAAGGCTATTTTGCCAGAGTGTGCTGCAAGAGATTGTAAAAAGGCCATTAATTTAGAGAAAATTACATAAAACTGTCAAAAGCTGCTAAATTTACTGTATAATACTTAATATTATTATATATTATATTACATACATATAGCTGAGTTCAGAATCGTTTAGAGAATGTAATTATATTATTGTTCATTGTAGGTTTTAAAAATACGTATTTTTTGTGATATATTGTCTTTAATTCGCTCATTTAAAGTGGGTTGACTTTACGTCATGCCATAGCTTGCAAATCCTTTTTCACGGAGTTAATACTCACCGCAGACAAGTCGTAGCTGGTGCAAAAATCGTTATCCATTATCCATTCAGGGTTTTAAGTTTTCTGCAATTAAATATTTGGTTGTTTCGGTAATATTTTGGTTTAATTAATACACACATGAAGTTTCATATTTAATCATACAAAAATATTATAATCTAAATAGCTATATGGTATATATTATATCCTGTTCGAGCATCTGTTTGAATAATATTATAATAATCTTTCGCGTGTACGGCTATGAAAATATTTACATAATATTTATATACCTTGTAATATCATGTTTACGTGTACAACACAATATATATATATATATAT